AAATAAAAATAAACCACAAAGAATATTAGCTATAAGAAACATGAAGATTCATATTACTTTCATATACGTATTGAGGTAAGTAGAAGGGCGCACTAGTGACACTAGCGCTAATTGCGTTTGGGCGCGTTAAGGTGGGTAAAGGCGTTTTAGTGGTGCAAAGAAAGCTATTGAATTTTATAAGTTAATCTTTATAATAATAGAAATAAAGATAAACCTTGCAAGTATTTTATATTTACATGAACATGGAATTGAAATAACAAAAATCTCTAGTAATAATCAAAAATTTGTTAGTTTTAGTTATAAATTACCTTCAGAGACAGAGAACGCATATGATAGAATTAAATGTTGATTTCTAGATTATTTTTCTTTCATACCATCTTCACTAGATAAACTTGTTGAAAACATGACCAGTGATCTTTTCAATATTAGCAGAGATTATTATTATTCTCACAATGGAGGAGTAGCAAAATTTGAATTAATGCAGAGAAAAATTTTATATCCCTAGCTATGTTAAGAAAAACTAAAGTAGATTTAGAAGTACTTCAAAATGTTGAGAAATACCTGATGATTGAGAAGGGAATAAATGGTGGTCTTGTAAATGCTGTCAACAGATACTCAAAAGTTAATAATAAATACACTCCGAACGTCAATGCATCGATACCTTCAAACTTCTTATTGTTTTTTGATGCTAGTTTATGCATAGTGCATGCGCGATGCATAGTTTGTATAGATGGGCAATGTGTCAGAAGTTAACAACTGGTGGTATTCACTTTTTGGATCAATCATTAATTGATGTTCTCAATGGTGAGGATAAAAATACCTGTTTAATAATAGAGGACTATATTGATTATTTGAAAAATTTAGGTAAAGAATATATTTTAGAAGTAGACTAGGAATATCCTATGAAATTACACTCAAAGAACAATGTTTTTCCTGTGTATCAAGGAAATGGGAAAATTGATGAACAAACCGTAAAAAAGTTGTGTGATACATTATTTGTTAACAAGAAATATGTTATTCATAATGAAAACTTGTTGCAATGTCTACATTTGAGACTAAAAGTGAAAATGATACATCGAATCCTTACTTTTAAAAAGATTAAATGGCTCGAATCTTACACTGAAATGAATACTAATCTTCGAAAAAGGGATAGAAATGATTTTGAGAAAGATTTTTTCAAACTTATGATTAACTCAGTTTTCGGAAAAAACTATGAAAATTGTTAGAGAAAGAATTGATGTCCGTTTAGTTACAGATGAAGATAAAATAATTAAATTAGCTTCAAAACCTAACTACAAAAGAACCATAATGTATAACAAAGAGTTATCGGCTTTAGAAATGGAGAAAACAAATATTATACTCGATAAATCTATTTGTTTTGGTTTCGCTATTCTTGAACTAAGTAAGTATTCGATGTTCGACTTTCATTGCATTGTTATGCCGGCGAAATATGATGATAATATTAATTTGTACTGTTAATGGCTTCAAGTCTTTTCGGAGATTAAAGGGAGTCATTTAATAATCAACAAAACTTCAAAACTCGTGGGAAGTGTCTTATTTTTCCCATCTTGGCTTTGTGTGATTGTAAAAACGAAAGAAATAAGTAAAACAAAAAAGGCAAAAACGGTACGGCGCACATGGTATTTGAACCTTCAGCCGGGTAGGATCCCGCCGTGCGGTTAGAGCTCTTTCCGGCTGAACCATGGAGGCGACCTATTGAGAAGGAAGATTTCTCAGCTATTTACCCAGCGCGGCCAGCAGAGAGATACACACAGGCATAGAGCGAAAGATAGAGAAAGACAGCCAGACAGTGAGGCGTGTGAAAAGGCTAAAGAGAACGCGAGAAACAGCTACACGTTGAGAGAGTGTGTGTTGTGTTCTAATAATAGTTTTCTTGAACAGGCTTTCTCTGAAATCATCAACAGTCAACTCATTCTTGACAAAATCTTATATGCATATTGTTTGGGTTTAAAGGCTAAAAGTTTTTCCATTATTAAACAATTTAATTCATCTTTGAATTCGCCAACAACTTTCTTTTTTTCAACATTATACAAAGGATGACAGGGTGGATATTCACTGAAATCAGGACATGGCTATGTGTGATTGTAAAAACCAAAGTGATAATACGGGTACACAGAGGCACTTGTACACAGCACTGGTACACCGTCTATCTAATATCTTGTAATTGCTCTGATACTAGTCATTTGCTATCGTTCCATTCGGAATTCTTACACATAAGATACAATCCCTCTTCTGAATACTAGATAGTTTCTGTAGGTTTATTTATATGCTAATGCTTGCCATAGTGGTACATACGTGAGAACTCT